GACCCACTTGAGGAGGCTGTCTATCCCTCAGCAGAGCTCAAGTGCTGTGCTGGGAGAACTGCTGCTCTCTTCAGAGCTGGCAGGCAGGAACGTTTAAGTCTGCTGAAGCTGTGCCCACAGCCACCCCTTCCCCCAGGTGCTCTGTCCCAGGGAGATAGGGGTTTTATCTATAAGCCCCTGACTGGGGCTGTTGCCTCCCCCAACTCCCCACCGAGATCTCCTGCCCAGAGAGGAGAAATTTAGAGAGGGAGTCTGGCTGGCTACACTGGTTTTGCTGAGCTGTGGAGGGCTCTGCCCAGTTGGAACTTCTCTGCTGCTTTGTTTACATTGTGAGGGGAAAACCACCTACTCAAGCCTCAGTAATGGTGGACACCCCTTCCCCAACCAAGCTTGAGCATCCCAGATTGACTTCAAACTGCTGTGATAGCAGCAAGAATTTCAAGCCAGTGGATCTTAGCTTCCTGGGCTATGTGGGAGTGGGATCCGCTGAGCTAGACCCCTTGGCTCCCTGGCTTCAGCCCCCTTTCCAGGGGAGTAAATGGTTCTGTCTTGCTGGTGTTCCAGGCACCACTGGGGTATGAATAAAAATCTTCCCACAGCTAGCTCGGTGTCTGCCCAAATGGCACCCATGGGCTGGAGTGCACCATTCCTCACGGCCCAGTCCCTTATGGCTTCCCTTGGCTAGGGGAGGGAGTACCCTGACCCCTTGCATTTCCTGGGTGAGGCAATGCCCCACCCTGCTTCACCTCACCTTCCGTGGGCTGCACCCACTGTCTAACCAGTCCCAGTGAGATGAGCTGGGTACCTCAGTTGGAAATGCAGAAATCACCCACCTCCTGTGCATTGATCTCACTGGGAGCTGCAGACCGCAGCTGTTCCTATTCAGTCATCTTGGTAAAGTCTCCTCAAAAATTGCTTTTAAAAGTGCTGGTGCATCCATACAATGGAATTCTGTGCAGTCCATAAGATAATGAGGAGTATGGTTTTTACTGACACGGAATGGCATGCAAGCTCTATTGGTATGTGACAAAAGCAAAAGAATACAGAATGATATAATAGGATATTACAGTCTGGATAGAATGTGGTGTTTGCCTATATATCTTTGGAAGGATTCACAAGAAACTGCTAGCATGGGCTGCCTGAAGAGAGTGGTATTCAGACGCTGGTGGACAGGAATGGGAAAGAGACTTGTCACTGACTGCCTTCTTGTAGCTTTTGAACTATGGGTCTCGAAAGTAAAGAAACTTAAAATTCCACAAAAGTTAACCACTGATTTTCCTAAATGGCTTCAGTTGAGGCTATAAAACAAAAACAAAACTGAACTTTGTATTGTTCATACATGTAAAATACTCTACATGTTAGATAACAAAGAGCAGTTCCATAGCATTTAAATGCTGACACTAATGTCAGTTTGTACTAGTCAGGGTTCTCCAGAGAAACAGAACCAATAGGAGATACATACATTAATATGCATATATAGAGGCTAAGTCCCATGATCAACCATGTATAAGCTAGAGACTCAGGAATGCCAGCAGTATAATTCAGTACTACTCAGCAGACTCGAGATGCAGAGAAGCCAGTAGTTTAAATCCCCAATCCAAGGCCAAGAGATGAGATGAGATGTCCCAGCTCTAGCAGTAAACGAGGCAACAAGGAATGAATTCCTCCTTTCTCCACTTTGTTCTGTTCAGGTCCTCACCAGATTAGATAATGCCCAATCACATTGGAGAGGGCAGTGTACTTTACTGAATCCACCAATTCAAATACTAATCTTATACAAATACACTTTTATAGGCACGTCTAGAAATAATGTTTAATCGATACCCCATGGCTCACACAAATTGACACACAAAATTAACTATTATGCCATTTAAACAATACTCATGTGATTCAAATACTTTCAAGAATTTGTGTGTGATGCAACTATTTAATTCATCTAAAATTTTATAACTGCTTCTAGAACTTAGCATTGTTGATTATAAAACCATAAACTGTTAATCATACAGAAAGATGGAGAATGTAAAGGATATTTAGTGTTTTCTATCTGCTCAACTCCTTTCAACGCAATTCTAATAATTGGGAATTTTTGACCTCTTGAATCCCACCCTCGTAATTTTAAAGCCAGAACACTTAATTTCCTGCCTTATTTGTGAATCACAGGCATGTGATGAGCACACATGCTCCAGCATGGTTACATGGCTCTGCCTATGCATCCAGTGTGCTGGTGAGTGGGCAGCAGAGGCGTTGGACTTTGGAGGACAGCAGTGATTGCGAAGTGAGATCTCAACACAAGGACCTCAAGGTCTGAGCAGAACACAGCTGTAGCATCCAGTGCCTGGTAGACATGGCAGCCACTGGGTCATTTTCCCTTCAGGCTGGTATGCTGTATGATTTGGAGCCTTTTTCCTAAAGTCATAGCTTTGACGCTTTGAAGTTATTCTCTAGCCTTATTAGTGCCTCTGTGAGAGTCCCAATATTGTTTTTTAAAAATTATTCTGCTTAATCAGAGTTATTTCTACTTCTTGCATTTAAACATGCTGACAGATATAGGAAGCTTACAGTTTAATAAAAATCAAAAAATATGTATGCCAGATATTCCAGTAAGCAGACTCCAAAGCAATTAAGTTGCTACATTTCTTATGTAACAAATGTTCTGGGATTAATAAGGAGTTCTTAGGGCATTTCTTTCTCCTAACTCCTGGAAAAGGAGAAAGACGAAACTTGTATAATAAATTACTATGGGAAGCTGTTTTCCCAACCTAATAAATGTCATTATTGACAGCTGTAACTTTGCACTAAATTGAGGAAAAGAATATAGAGGTGGTAGTAACAATAAACACTACACTCTTTACATATACTATCACATTTAAATCATACAACATCACAAGCCAGGACTCATTTTACATATGGTGAAACACAGGTTAATTATCTTGTTGAAAATCATAACTACTTTTGAACCTAGGCAACCTAGTCTTCTTCTTGATCACTGTATTGTATTACCACTCTGAATTTAAAAGAAACCCTAAAACACAGGATAAATTATTTAAAGTTGTTTACTTATGTACTGGCAATAACTGTTCATGAAAAAATTGTATTGTTTTGACTTAAAGAATTATCTACAAAAGATCAATTATATACAATTAAATATATATCAAGCTATATATTTATAGCTACTGTAAAAGACAAAGAAAGCTGGGCATGGTGACGCACGCCTGTAGTCCCAGCTACTTGGGAGGCTGAGGTGGGAGGATTGCTCGAGCCCGGGAGTTCGAGTTCAGCATGGGCAACATAGTGTTCTCTCTAAAGAAAGGTGCCTTTTTCCAAAATATTGAAGAAGCTTGAAAGAAGGAAAGGAAAGGAGAAAGGAAAGGAGAAAGGAAAAAAGAAAGGAAAAGGAAAGGAAAGGAAAATGAAGCAAGTGCCTTGAATTCATCTTAAGCTTCTTAATACTATATTTATTATCCTTTCAATATACCCCAAAATTTACAGAAGGCAAGTTACTATTAACCCTACTTTGTCAAAGTACTCTATATTCCCTGCAAAGCATTTATTCTCCACCTTCTCATTTATCCATTGCATCTAAATGATTCTTTTCGGCCATTTGAACCAGTTCTGCTTTTTTTCACTTGTAAGTTTCTCTTCTCCCAAGATATGGAAGTTTTCAAGTTGTGGAAGAACTCAAACCAAAGATACATTCAAGGACAAAAAGTAGTCAAATCATAAAGCAGAAGGAATTCATCAAAAGTTTGCTACTCACTCTCATGTGTTTTCCAGTGGAGTACCAAGTATTCTTTAAAAGACATTTACTAGGAACCTATAAGGGGTACTTTCCAAGGAGATATGAAAAACACATGAGAATAATTAATGCATGGTCTATGTCTTTGTGAAACTTACAATTTAATAGAAAAGATAGAACATGATGAAAAATAACTAGAGTTTAAGTGGAAAGTAAAAGACATGAAAAGGAATATATGAATAGAGAAGTTTCTTTTACTACAAAAAAAAAACACAGAAAGCGTTCCAGAAAGTTCAAATCAGACATGTGAAATTGTACAGAGAGAGCATTCCTGGTGGAAGGAGCAACACAAGGAAATGCTCAGAGGAATGAAAGCCTTGGTGAATGTGCATAACACAGAGAAGTATGGGTTTACTGTCTGGTAGCATCATGAAAGGTAGAAAAGAGGGTTAAACTGGAAATATAGTGTGATTTGTGAAAACATTCAATGTCTGGCTCAGGAGGCAGAATTTAACTTGAAGGCCCTGATCATTTTAACTAGCTGAAGATGCACTGACCTCTGAGTGTGTTCTGACCATCTATAGTAAGTACTCAATCAGTGATGCCAACTACATCATTATTTATCATGACATATTTTTTACATTAGTAGAATTAGTGAAGTGGGCAAAGAAAATGGTTCATCAGTAAATGGATATGCTTAGATTTCCGACCTTATGTCTTACATTTATTTTGCATGACATTCAGAGTTTTGTGGATTATGTGACATGCATAATGTTTCCCAAAATACTCACTTGATAGGTAACAAAGTTAAATGAGTCTTTGTGTTCAAAATAAAGAACTGAATTTCCTAAATACATGCATACATAATTTTTTTTTCATTTTTGTGCCCAGCAGGAAGCTGTTAGAATAGAGTTGTTTTATACATCATTAAATAATAATATTTATCCTGCAGAGTTAAACCATATTAATTGAGTTTCTCATTTTTTCTTTTGAAAGCAAAATGAAACAATGCACAAAATTATAATCATTTTAAAGTTGTTGAATATTATATCCAAAATTCAATTTGTCTACTTAAGTCATATTAACCTTCTATTTTCACGGCTTAAATAATAAAGTTTTAGATGCCTGTAAGTTTTATTCAATTTTTCATACTTAGTTTGCTTTGAGGGATCCCTAGTTCCTTATAATTTGGATGAAGGTATCTTTAATTACCATTTAAATTGTGTGAAAAATATATTTTGAAATGTCTTTTTTCTTTGTCTAGTGTTTATCTCCTAAGCTGATGCCTGTCCTTGAGAGAATTGCTTTCCAGGTAAGAAATTACACCCAGGAAAATACATTACATATGTTTTTATTTTTTTAAATGTTTCTTTTGGGTAAACACTAAGTTTAAGAATCATCTGTCACAATTTATATACAGGTTTTTCTTAAGCTATTCAGTATAATTGAAGGGTTGCCTATAGAAAGAAAGAAGGATTAAAAATCCTTTACCTCGTTTCGAATGAATTGACTCTGACCTAAAAGTTGGGTTCAAGTTCAAGTTTACACCCACCCATTGAAGATGGTGAGAGTGCCTTTGTGATTAGCAGGGCTGAGCTCCAGGCCTTCATAACACAAACATGGTTGTCTCCATCACTCTGTTCCAACTGTTAGTGGAACTGTGCTGAAACCCCACAAATTATTGAGCCTAGAGGCTGAGAGTTGACCATGTTTATAGCAGGGTTGGTTGTGATCCCTTAAATTTAGAGACACTTTGGCCTGAGAGTTGGCAGAATTGGGCTTTGTCTCAATTTAGCCACCAAGTATGTAAAACATCTTCACTGTTCCTCATCTGTGAAATAGTGTTGACCCTGAAGATGACTAGCTCTGGCCATGATATGATAATAGAATAAAAGCATTTATATGGTATATTTCTGTACACACTGCTTCAAATAAAGCTCACTATGAATCTGTGGGTAGGTATAGTATAAATGTGAAAGGCAAGAGGCTGTCAGCAAATGCAATTCGTTTCAAAAAATGGCTCCAAAGAAGGCAAACAATGTTTCCCGGGCAGCCTGACATGGCCTGACTAAAATTACCATGACCCAGGGTCTAGCTCCCAGTTTTACAGGCTCCAAAACTCTTATTTACTAACAGCAGTGATCATTACTATCATTACTATTCAAATTAAAAAATATTTGGCTGAAAAAGTTACAATTTAGTCTATGACCTAAATAGAAATGGGTAAAAAGGAAAGAGACTGGTACTGATAATAATGAGCAGAGCAATGCAAATTTGGCAGGACAAATCAAATTTGGTTGTAAAATGAAAACACTTTACAAGCCTAGTAAAGACATTTCAGTTGTTTGTGTATACAATGTCACTCTCATTAGTAAAGGTTATCTTGCAGCTCCAGTCTGTAGTTTCTTATTAACAAAATGGAAAGTGAATATACATACTAAATTAAACATTTCACCTCTTCAGGGCCATATCTGACAACTGTGTTTATCCATGCATTCACTCAATTCAACAGTCATTTATTAAGTCTTTGCTGTATAGAAGCAGCTGCATTTTGGATAGCATAGAAAAAATACTTTCAGATGCAGATTTTTATTGAATCATAAAAATGTAGATTACAAAAAGATAGACAATAGCACTGATATATTTGGCTGACATAAAATGTTCTCCATTCAAAACTGATACGTACACTGTATTTTACACTCTGTCTAGATGATGCACTTTTTCAGTATCTGTTTTGCAGTCGGGGTTTGGAGCTCCCTGCCCCAGAGGTCTGCTGTACCTATGTCTCCACTCCGGAAAGAAAGAGACTCGTCATCTGTTACCAAAAACTTACAGTTCCAGCTGCTGCTGGCAGGATTTTTGTTCTGAGTACTCTATTCAGGTTCTGAATCAAAGGTCATATCATAAAACAGTCAATGGTAACCATTATTGTAAAATAATATGGAATGAGTAATTTTATGTAATTTATAAAATTGTCAAATAGTTACATATTTCTTTTTAGTTCTACGTATTTGTCTTTTATCAACTGTTCAAAAACCAATTTACATGCCACTTCTCCCACAAAGACTTCTTTGTTCTCCTCAGCTTAAATTAAGTTCATCTCTTTTCAATAGTCTTCATTCTGAGGAGGGTGAGGTTAAAAGCTTTCCTTTTATAAAAGGTAAAATGAAATGATATAGTTTCATTTCTAGTGTTCTTAGTTTATTTTTAAAGTTAAAATACATCTATACAACCTTAAAAGAAATCTTTGGAGGAATTAAAAATAAGAGCAAAATAGTCAGTGCTTATAAAATTTTTTAAAAAGAAATGGTCAAAATTCATAACAGCATACAACAAAATTACAGAAATAAAGCTAAGTATATCTAATATAACAGTAAATATAAATGGCTTAAACTCTACCATGTATTTTAAAAAATTAATCCTCAGATTCGTTTACAAAAACAAATGCCAACTATATAACTTACCAAAAAAAAAAAAAACAACAACAAAAAAACCCTAAAAATCATATACAGAGTCATAAGGAAAGGGTTAACAGCAGATTCCTCACTCAATCTCTCCCTCGTCAGGAACACCAAGGTAGTGTTGACTTCAGCCAGAACTCTTTATTGTGTGAAAGAATGTACGGGCTAGAAGACAACGAGGTTCTTCTTGTGGCTTCTATGAACTATAATTTTTATACAAAGAAATCTTCTCACTGGATATGCCTGGTGTAACTAGATTGTTGGTTGTTTTCTTCTTTGCTTGTTTGTTTTAAATAAGCCCATATTTTTGGATTGATGGCCCCAAGCTCTACGGGAGAATGGAAGTTAGTCATATAGTACTCTTAGTTGCCATGGCTAACAAATCACCAAATGCTGCAACGCCCCTGTGCTAATGCATCTGGCACAGAATGAGCCTTCGAAATCCAAACCCAAACAATCACCAGTCTTTGTCCAGGAAGGAGCATCTGACAGATTCAGGAACTCCTAGATAACAGCTTAATGTTGGGTGTGGCTCCTTTCTTGAATCCTTTTCACAGTCCTTAGCACAGCTTTATGCTTTGTAGGATGAGATCTTAATAAACAACTGATCCCTTTGTGGTAGTGCAAAGGATAGTGTAAGGCAATGCCATGATTTATTATAAGATGAATAGGGAAAGTCTGGAAAGGTAGACCTTGAGGAAAAGGACACTAAATGGGATCTCAAAAAAAGTAACAAGAAAAGAAATGTAGAAACCAACATCCTTCCTATAAATTTAAAATATCTTTAAACAAACAGTAGTAAACAATTCCAACAATATATAGAAAGGAAAACCAAGTGGGATTTATACCAGGAATGCAGGATTAGCTTAATACCTAAAAACTTAATTAATGTAATATACTATTATCAATAGAAAAAAAGAACAATTTATTTAAAAAATAAAATATCTGAAAAAACTAGAATTACAAGAGAACTTCCTAAAGACATCTAAGAAAAGACTACAGCTAACATCATACTTGGTAATGAAAGATGAAATATTTTCCTTCTTAAGATTAGGGAGAAGACCAGGTGTTGATTTTCACCACTTCTACTTTACAAACATTATACTGTATGTTCTAGTCAGTGCAGTAAGAAAACAAAATTAAAAAGTATCAGATTGCAAGGAAAGAAGTGAAACTGTGTTTATTCACAAATGACCTGATTATCCATGTAGAATTTCCTAAACAATTTGCAGAAGAGAAAAAGAAAACAATACTAGGAAAAATAAGTTTAGTAAGTCATAAAAAACAAGATTTAAAAAATAAGTTTAGTTCTATACACTAGCAACAAACAATATCAAAAGGAAATTGAGACAAATCCATTTATAATGCTATAAAACATTAAAATATTTAGGAATAAACTTAAAAGAAGTACAAGACTTGTACACAGAAAATATTGCTGAGAGAAATTAAAGAACTAAGTAAATGCGGAGATCTATCACTTGCTTAGATTGATAACAATGTAATTTACCCCCAAATTATCAGTTTAGTACAGTTCTTGTTAAAATCCCAATAGCCATTTTTATGGAACTTGACAATCTGAACTTAAAACCTGTATAAAAATGTAAAGGACTTAGAATAGCTAAAATAATTTTTTTAAAAAGAAGAAAACAATGGGACTTACATTGCCTGATTTACACACTTATTACAAAGTTACAGTATTCTACAGTGTGATATTGGCATAAACATATAGATCCATGGAACATAATAGAGCCCAAAAGTGAACCCTTGAATATATTATCAGTTAATTTTATCAAAGGTGCCAGACAATTCAGTGGAGAAAGAATAGTGTTTTTATCAAATGTATGATGGGCAATGTCTACCTATATGCCAAATATAGGTATAATTTTTTGTATGATATGAGGTAAACTAATTTATGTGTATATATATGTATAATTACCTCACATCATACGCAGAAATTCAACATGAATCATAGACTTAAAATAAAAATCTAATACTTCTAGAAGAAAGCATAAGAGAAAATTTTTGTGACATTGGGTTAAGCATAAGATTTGTTATATGTGGCACTAAAAATAGGATCTATAAAATGATAAGCTGAACATTATCATAATTAAAAATGTTGCTCTTCAAAAGGAAAGCAAAGAAGAAAATGAAAAGACAAGCCACAGTCTAGGAGAAATTACTTGCAAATCATATATCATCATATATCTGATAAAGGACTGCTATATAGAATATATAAAGAACCCTTACAAGTCAATAAGAAAACACCCAGTTAAAAAACAGGCAAAGGTCTACATAAACATTTCACCAGATAAGATATACACGTATTTAATAAGCACATGAAAAGAAATTCAACATCATTAGTCATAGGGAAATGCAAATTAAAACCATAATGAGACACCACTACTCTCTCACCAGAATGTCCATAATTCAAAAGACTGATGATACTAAAGATATGAAAACACCAAATCCTCATACATTTCTAGTGAGAACTTAAAATAATACAATGACTTTGAAAACCAATTTTACAGTTTCTTAGAAAGTTAAACAGATGCTTACCATGCAATCCAGAAATTTCACTCCTGGTTATCTATACAATAGAAATAAAACTTAAGTCCACCAAAAAAAAAATGTATACAAATGTTTACAGCAGCTTTATTCATAAAATCCCAGACTGGAAATAATGCAAATATGCATTAACTGGTGAGTGGGTAACAAAATGTGGCATATCCACACAACAAACTATTATTTAGCAGGATATAAAGAAACAAACTCTTGATATACATGCTACAATATGTATCAACTTCAAAAACATTATGCTAAGTGAGAGCAACCAGACACAAAAAGCTACATA